GTAGAACCCAACACCAGCCCCGAGGGAAAAGTGAGGCGTGACACAGGGGCTGCCAGAGGGGTTTTTTGGTTTTGTTTTAGAGGTTTTTAATTGTTGTTACTGTTCGTTTCCTTGAGACGGGGTCTTGCTATGTAGCCCAGGTCAGCCTTGAACTCACAATCCTCAATCCTCAGCCTCCCTCACGTTGCACCACATCCAGCCTCCTGTTGAGTTTTGGTGCCTACCGCACAATAGGCTGGATCCACAGAACCAAGTGAGCTTATGTCCTGGTGGGCAGATTACCTGCCCCTTGATAACCAGAGGGGGTGACCTGGAAAGTCCCCAGCCCCAGGGAGGTGGGGTCATCTGGAATGGCCTCCCTCTGCCTCCCTCCCTGCCTTTGAACCTTAGGACCAGAAGCAAGAGGGTGGGAGTTCAAGGTCACAGACTTGGGAAGGGAGACTGGAACCACGGTATTTTCCACGATGGGCATCCAGCTCAACCTGTTCAGTGGAATACGGTTGAGGGTGGGGAGCCTTTCTGTTGGGCTTATTTCCAGTCCTTTTTCAGAACCTGTAAAAAAATGGCGTCAGCCACCATACTAGCTTCTGTATCCAATTAACAGGACCCTAGATGATGCCAGGCTTGGGATGCAAAGCATAAAAATTACATTCAATAAATGATACAACAGCAACTGCGACGGGGAGGAGTCTGTGTGACATGTTCCTTGAGCCCTCCCTACTACCTGGTGAGGCGTGAGTTTCCACGTGACTGACTGCCCAAGATCACTGCTAGTCACCTTTTCATCGCTATGGCAAAAAGACCTGCAGTAAACAATTTTAAAGAGGAACGATTTGTCTTGGCTCGTGGTTTGTAAGGTTTCAGTCCATGGTTGGCTGGCTGCATTACTGCGGACCCAAGGTAAAGCAGGCAGAATTTGATGGTGGGGAGCATGCCCCAAAGCAAAGCTCAGGAAACAGAGAGAGAGAGAGAGAAGCTGCACACCAGAGACATGCCCCCAACACCACTCCAAGTGACTTACTTTATCAATGGATTAATCCACTGATGAAGCTAGTGCCCTCCTGCTCCAATTACTTCTCAACAAGGCCATCACCACCTTGGGACCCAGCCTTCACCATGTGAGCCTTTTAGGAGGAAACGCTTCGTATCCAAACCATAACAGTCACGCAAATGGCCACATGGAGGAGGACCCAAGCGTGGACATGCCCTTGGTGAGGCCTCCACAAGCCTGGCTCTCTCTGGCCACTGACTCCATCGCCAACAAATGAAGCTGGCCAGGTTCTGGTCCTCGTAGTGACCCCATCTTTCTCCTCTGAGAAAAAAGAATTAGCACCAGAAAGATCTTTCCTGAGCCTGGCCCTGCCTGGTTTCTTCTCCTGAGTCCCTGGCCTCGCTCTCCCCAGCAAGGGCTGTGACACTGGGAAAGCCCCTTCTTTTCTTCCAGAGTATTCTCCGTCCACTTGTCTTCTCCCCGCCACCTCTGCTGGGAAGGTGCCATGTCCTGCCTGGGAACATGGCAAGGTCAGGAGCCCATTGAATAACTTTTTGTCCCTCCGACCTGCCTCCCCGATCATGACTGCAGGGCCAAGTGGGGATAGCTGCAGGGTAGCTGAGAGGTCCCAACTCCTGATCAAATTGTGGGAAGAGGCATTTAAAAAGGAGAATGGCTTTTTAGGGGAAGAGTGACTTTGCCTGTTTACTTTCTTTCTTGTTTTGTTTTGGCAGTCTCGGGAATTGAATTCAAGGCCTCACACATACTAGGCAAGCACTTACCACTTGAATGACACCCCTTGCTAACTTTGCCCTGACTGGCCTTAAACTCAAGAACTTCCTGCCTCTGCTTCCCAAGTAGCTGGGATTACAGGTGTACACCACCACACGAGGCTGGCTTTGCCTGTTTTTGAAAACAGTACATTTCTTTAGGGAAGAAAGTAGCCAGATGCTGCCTTAAAATGTGGTTCTCTGTAGCCAGGAAACTTCCCTCTGAGCTTAGGTGTAGGGTCGGAATGGTCAGCAGATAACTCAGACCAGCATTCTACCAGACGTGAAGAATGCATGAAACAGCCTGTCCAGTCCAGAGAGGGCCTGGACCTCAGGAGTTGGAAATCCCTGGAGTTTTATAGACTCTCATTCTGTGCTGTTTACCTTTGGAATAACTTTTTAAGGCAGTGTAAATGTGGGTGATTGTTGCATTGTGGATGATGTATTCTCATAGGGGTTCATTACAGCATTTTCTCTTCCTCTTTTTTTTTTTAAACTTTTTGTTGGTATATTTTTAAATTTCCAAAATAAAGAAGTTGGATTTTTGAAAAGCCGTTAATAATGTTGATTCTCTTGGCCCCGATTCAGAGAAGTCTGGAATCCTCTTCTGTCTGCCTTGTGGCTTGATTGCCAGGACAAGAGGTGAAAGAAGACCAGCCAGTCAGAGACAGAAAGGAGGATGGTGGTTGCCCAGGGCTGGGGCCGGCGGGGCGGGGGATGGGGAGACAGTGTTTAATGGGGACAGACTTTCAGGTTTGCAAGATGGAGAGCTCTGAGCCAGACGCTGGTGGCTCACGCCTGTAATCCTAAGTATTCAGGAGTAGAAATCAGGAGGATCTCAGTTCGAAGTCAGTCCAGACAAATAGTGAGACCCTATCTTGAAATACCCATCACAAAAAAGGGCTGGTGGAGTGGCTCAAAATGTTGGTTGTGAGTTCAAATCCCAGTACCACAAGAAAAAAAAAAATGAAGGGCTCTGGAAACATGTGGTGGTGAGGGCTATACGTCAGTGTCAGTATACTTAGTGCTGCTGAACTGAATATTTTTAAATGGCAAATTTTATGTTATGTGGTTTTCACCGCAATTTTTTTAGTGCTATAAAAAGAAGAAAAAAATAAAAAGCTGGTTCCAGAGCTTCCCTGCGGAAGCTGGACTGATAGCATCTTGCTACCACGTCCTCTTCTGTGGCCAAGAGTTTAGGACACTTGGCTGGACTTAGTCACAGTCTACTAGCTGTGGCCCACCATAAATTGCCCAGCTCTCTGTGCACCAACCTCAGGAAATGGAGTTTCCAGTCAGCCAGACAGGTGTGCATGTGGGCCCATACGAGGCGGTGTCGCACACCTCACCTCCACCAGCACCAGGGGCACATGTATGAGGGCCAGGCCTCTGAGAGCCACTGTGAGTTCTTCCATGGGCCTAGGAGTGCTTTTAATGTTACAAGTATGTCAACAAGCTATTGCTGCCAGGCGCTGGTGGCTCACACCTGTAATCCTAGCTCGCTGGGGAAGCTGAGATCGAGAGGGCAGAGGTTTGAGGCCAGTCAGGGCAAACAGTTTGCAAGACCCATCTCCAAAAATAACTAGAGCAAAATGGCCTGGAGGTGTGGCTCAAGCAGTGGAAGGCCTGCTTTGCAAGTGCAAAGCCCTGAGTTCAGATCCCAGTCCCATCAAAAAAAGCTATCGATACTCAAGTTAGGACAGTGTGGACATTGAAAAGAAAAATGTCAATAGAACGATGTCATTTTTCAACTGCCCGTGTAATAGTGCATTCAGGAAAAGGTTATCCTGGGGTGCCAAGTCAGTGAGACAAAGGTTGCAGAGTCTTAAGATGTCACTCCACGGTTACTGATTAATTTCACAGGAAGATGGGACTGTTAGAACGGAGAGACAGGTGTCACTGCCTCAGTCAAGCAAACCTGGCTTTGCTATTACTTTGTAAGTTCTGATGTGATGAAGGATTACAGAGGACAAACATCACCTCCACGCCTTTCTTACCCAGACTGTCCAACCGTTATCTAATCACAAGGAAGCAATCTGGCCACTTCAGAATGGGGGACATTTTACAAGATAATGGGCCTCGATTTTTCTAGCATCAGTGTCCCAAAACAAAATGGTCTGTGGAAGTTAACAGTGCTGGGGATGTAGCTCAGTGATGCAGTGTTTGCCTACCATTGAAACACAAGAAAACAACAACACAAAACAAAGACTCCATGTGTGAACCTAGTTTGAACCCTGGATTCAAAAGAAACGGTTATAAAAAATTTTTTCGGACCTCTGGAGAAAGTCAGTATGGACTGAATGTTAGCATTTGTCAATGCGCTAACGTTGATGTTTTGGAATTCTGAGATCAAGATTTGTAGGAAAACTTCCTCGGGAATGGAGGCTGAAGTGCTCAGGGGTAACCTGTCACATCTGTAATGTAACAAGACATGGTCCAATATTTATATATAGCACACACACAGGAACAGAACAAGGGTGGCTCAGTGTCAGTGTCCACAGTTGGGGAGTCTGGATGACGGGTTGTGTGTGTTCATTGTTCTATTCCTCCATCATTTCTGTGGATTTGAAGATTTTCAAAATAGAGTGTGTTGAAAGAGACGAGGAAAGCCTGTGGCCATTGTCTGACTTGCAGAGACTCATGCTTCCCTTCTGTCTCTCCCTGGAGACCCACCCGAAGACTTCCAGGCATCTGTTGTCTGTGCAGTTTGTCGATAAGGAGGAAGTAGCTAAGTAATGGTGCTTGGTGGTGACAGCACTAGGGACAAGGGGCTGGCCCCCATCATGGTCTGGGAGGAGGGGAGGAAATGTCTGCTGAGCACGTGCAACACTAGGAAAGTCATAAAACCTTTCCTGGCTGTGAAGTGAGTCACGCTGGGCAACAGTAAGCTGAGGTCGCCCTGGCCAACAAGGAAGAGCAGAGGTGGAGGCTCCCACTGCTTTCTCTCTGAGTCCCTGGGGGAGCCTAGGGTTCATTGTGAGGAACAACCATGGTGCAATGCAGTTTGTCTCTGTGTGCTGGGCACTCGTGAAGCACTTTCCATTCTGCATGACCGTTTTGTTTCCACCTGGAGTGTATTCCCAGATCACGCACAGATAAACAGCCTGTAGAGTTTAGTCCTGCGAGGTCCGGGCAAAGTCACCAAGGAGTCAGGGCCAGCTCTGCCTGGCTGAGGCTGCCCTGTGGAGGGTCCCCAGGAGGCCCCTGCAGCAGGGGGAGTGAGCAGAGCCCGGGGAGCCATGACCCCTCCACTGGAGGGTAAGCCTCTGGGGCCTGGCACAGAGCTCTGAAAGGTTGAAGGTGGGGGAGCTAATCTGATTGAGCACATCTGCTGGTGGGTTGTAGTAGGCTGCTGACCACCAGCAGTGCTGTGCGGGGGTCTCTTGCCACCCCCAGCACAGTGCCTGGGCCGCGTGCCTTTCTGTGCCATTTTCTGCTCCAGGAAGAAAAGAGCGCTTGTGAGACTGGGGTGTGCTCCATCCCCAGCACCAAAACAGACAAAAGACAAAAACAGAACAACAACAGCACAAAAAAAAAAAAACCCAGTACTGGAGTTTGAACTCAGGGTCTCATGTTTGCTGGGCAGGTGCTACCACTTGAACCACTCCACCAGCCCTATTTTGTGTTGGGCATTTGCAAGCTAGGATCTCGAAAACTATTTGCCCAGGCTGGCCTCAAGCTTAAATCCTCCTGATCTCCACCCCCCCCACCACCACCCAGTAGCTAAGATTATAGGCGTGAGTCACGGGCAGCCAGCTGAGAATTCATAGCTATTGAGTTGGCGCAACCATGGTTGTTCAGCACAAGGTTCAGAGACACCTAGTCAATTTTGAAAAAGAAAAAAAAATTCTCCCTTTTTAAATTGTATGACGAGTGTATGATCATTGGAGAAAAATAGAGATACAAGCCTCTCAGAAAATTCAAGTGGCCCAGAATTCCACTATCCAGAGAGGACCAATCACTCATTCATTCATTCATTCATTCATTCAGCCAACACTTATTTAATACCTAATGTATGCCAGACCCTGCTAGGGACTGGGAACAGAGCAGCAAATGGGTCAGACCTGATTCTAACACCCATAAGGACAGGAACTAGCTATACTTATTGATACTGATAGCAGTACTCTGAGTGTGACAAGTGCTAAGATGACCCTTGGTGTCCTCTGAATTGAGCTCAGGAGGACACAGATGAGGTGAGAGGAAGGGAGGGAGTGCGGGGGTGAGGTTGCAGTAGCTAGGAGGGCCTGGATTCCAGCTGTACAAGAGGCTTTGCCCCCTAGGTGGCTTTGACCTTGAATTTACTGCCTCTCTTGCCCTTGAGTGCAAGAGCGGAGAATGGTAGCACTTTGGAGGCAGTGCCATTGCAGCTGACATGGGCTCTGGGAGGGGTCGCAGCCTGTTGGAGTGGTCTCCACTCTTCCCTGTGCTATACATACACACTCTGGGGCTCCGATGAAACTGTGTCTGGCCATCCTTCCCCACTGTGGGGCTTGTGCCCTCTTGCTGGGAAGACAGACCCAGGGCTGCACAGAGTCACTTCACTTAGCAGTGACATCTTTGGGTTCGGGATGGGCTGAGTTCAGGATGGTGGAGACTTCTTACCTCCTGAAGAGCGGGAGAGCTGTTGAGAACTGGGGCAGAGGCGCTGCAGCTGTGAGCACGTGTGTGAACGCTTTGTTCCCGCCTTCCTGACATCCACTCAGCAGCTACTCTGCACTCGAGAGGCTGGGCTTGGAGGCCACAGGTGACCGCCAGAGGTCAGACCCTGAGGGACTCAGATTTTAATGTGGGAGTGAAGGCTTGGAGCATGGAAGTGAGCATGACACGTCAAGGGTAGCTGAGTTAAGAGGAAGGAAGTTTCCTTTAGACAAAGCCAGGAGGACACAGTGCTTTCGAAGAACTGCCAGTGGCGGGGTCCACAGCCAGCTGTGCAGTGGTGACCCCAGAATGAGCGCCTCACACAGTGTAGCTGTCATGTCTCCCAACCCTCAGTTCAGGAGGTGCTCCTGCTGTTCCCTGACCATTGGGTGGTCAGGGTTTTAGCCCATCCCTCAGGTCAAGTGTCCACCGAGGTGACTTGCTAATGTGTCCTTTGGGACTTTCTCCCTTCCCTGTTTTCTCCCCTGACCTTCCAGTCTCTCCTGGACTCACTTTCCAAGCAAATGGTTTCCTAGGCAACCCAAACTGAGACCCCAATGAGAATTTACACTCCATCCTGAGGACAGTGGGAGGTATAGAAGGGTTTTTCCACATCCAGAGGGACCAGGGTCAGATTTCAAGGTCATTCTAACTCCGGCCTGGAAGTTGCGTTGGTGAAGGTCAGAGACATGGAGGAGGTCCTTGTCCCCCAGAGTCAGACTATGGTTGCTGGCTGCTCTCTCCAGCATCTTTGGTGTTACAGGTGCCCATCTGAGCGTGTCATACACGTTGACTTATTGTCTCTAACAAAAGCCTTAGGAAGTACAGGTTCTGTATACAGATAAGGAAGCTGAGCCCTGGACAGGTTGAGACACCTGGTGGTGATCACACTGCTGGAATGATGGCTTGGGGATTCAAAGCCACGAGTGACAAATCAGAGTGTGCACCCATCCCTCAGCAGTCCACCCTGTCTGCTCCTTTCTCTTCTCTGCCAGCACCATCCTGGTACTAGAAGGTGGGCCTTTAGCACCCTAGGTGCAATTACTTTTCCAGTAACCTCCACTTCTGCCCTTAACAGGTAAGTTTGAGGACAGGGAAGACCGTGTGCCCAAGCTGGAGCAGATAAACAGTACGAGAATCCTAAGCAGCCAGAACTTCGCCCTCACCAAGAAGGAACTGCTGAGCACGGAGCTGCTGCTCCTGGAGGCCTTCAGCTGGAACCTGTGCCTGCCCACACCCGCTCACTTCCTGGACTACTACCTCTTGGCCTCCGTCAGCCAGAAGGACCACCACTGCCACACCTGGCCCACCACCTGTCCCCGCAAGACCAAAGAGTGCCTTAAGGAGTATGCCCATTACTTCCTGGAGGTCACCCTGCAAGGTGAGGGCAAGAGAGACAGCAGGGGCCACAAGGCCCCCATCCAGAGAGGGCCTTCCTGAAGGACTAAGGCCCTCATCACTCCTACTTTAGCAAGAAAAGTTACCCCATTTGGGTTGGAGATGTGGCTTGGTGGTAGAGCATTTGCCTAGCATGTTCGAGATCCTGGTTTGGCCAGCCACTGGCGGCTTGTGATCTGAGCTACTTAGGAGGCAGAGATCAGGAGGTTCAAGGCCAGTCCCGGGCAAATAGTTACACGAGACCCTGTCTCGAAAAACCTCTTCACATAAAAGGGCTGGTAGAGTGGCTCAAGATGTAGGCCCTGAGTTCAAGCCCCAGTACCACCAAAAGAAAAAGACCCTGAGTTCAGTCCCCAGCACTGCAAATAAATAAATAAACCTACTCTTTGCAGTGTCTTAAAATCTAGGTAGTAGGCCGGGGTGCCAGTGACTCACACCTGTAATCCTAGCTACTTGAGAGGCTGAAATCTGGAGGATCAAGATTCAAGGCAAGCCTGGGCAAATAGTTCGAAAGACCCCTTCCATAAAAATAATCAGAGCAAAATGGACTGGGGGTGTGGCTCAAGTGGGAGAGTGCATGCCTAGCAAGCATGAGGCCCTGAGTTCAAACTCCAATACTGCCAAAAAAATAAAAAGGCTAAAGTTGAAGTAACTGAAAATCAGAAGTATTTGAAGACAGCACAGCGATAGCGATGCACTAAAAACCAAGGACCATTTGTGGAAGCTGCAGGAATTCCAACTGCTTGCCTTTCACGGAAATAGTACCCATCTTACCATGACGCCAGCTGTCTTACTAGGACATTATGGTCCCCGCTTGGTGGCTCACGCCTGTTATCCCATCTACTCATGAGGTACAGATGGGAAGACTCAAAGCTCGAGGCCAGTCCAGGAGAATAAGAAGTGAGACCCCCATCTCAACCAATAAGTTAGATGTGGTAGCTCCAGCCTGTAGTCCCAGCTACACAGGAGGCCACAGGTAGGAAGATCCCAATCTGAGGCTGGTCCCAGGCAAAAACCACAAAACCCCTACCTAAAAAAGAGCTGGCACAAGGGATAGAGCATCTGCCTAGCCAGCTTGTGGCCCTGAGTTCAAACCCAAGTACCACCAAAAAAAAAGCATAAACCTAGGTAAAGTGCCCATTGTGGCATTTATAAAGTTCTTAAAATATATCAAATATATCATACTTGAAAGGATATGAGACACTTGTAAGCCACTCATTCATTCATTCAACAAATTTTCACTGAATGTCTGCAGTGGGCCAAACTTTGTTGCTCTCAGTAAGTAGACTTTAGGCATATCCTAACAGAATCCTTTGAAATGGCACGTCACTTGCCAGCAACAAACAAAAAATGACAAGTGTTTTGCGGTTCTGTTTTCAGCCTGTCCATCAGCAGGCCCCTAGGAGCCACAGACATTTTGAAAACCCCCCTCCACCCCCCACCTAAGGCTGATACCACAAATCCCAGACTCAGCCACAGTGTTTTCCAGTTTTCTCACTTTCCATCCCTGTTCTCGGAGCAGCCAAGAACAGCCTTGGAGTCCATCCACTCGCCCACCAGTCCTCAGGACAGGCATGAGACCCCACGCAGAGGCTCTGCTGCTGACGCCCTTGAATTCTGTTTCAGATCATATATTCTACAAATTCCAGCCTTCTGTGGTGGCGGCAGCCTGTGTGGGGGCCTCCAGGATCTGCCTGCAGCTTTCTCCCTACTGGACCAGAGACCTGCAAAGGATCTCAAACTACTCTGTGGAACACCTCAGCACGTGTGTCGAAATCCTGCTGGTGTGAGTTCCTCTCGGGGTCTTCTCTGTTCCTCTTGATCTTGAAGCCAAATTTGGGAATTTCCTGAGTTTGAGGCAGGTGGTTTCCCCAGCGTAAGTGTCTCATGTGAAAGCTGGCATAGTGACTCCTGATAGAAGAAGTAAGGTGTTTCTCTTTGGGGTAGTTTTGGGTTTGTTTTTAAAGATCCAGGAGCAAGGATGAAGAGGGCTGGGTATACTTCATTCTAGATGTCTGGGCTCTGATCTTGGGCCCATTGTGATCTTACGAATCTGTCATAGTTCCTTGTCTCAGACATGGCTGCAAAGCTGACCTTTTAGTCAGCTAAGCTCGGTGTGGCTTCACCTAAGAAGCCCTGGCCTCTTTGCAAGGGTCCCTGGGAATCTTGGGGAAGAATTATTCAATGTATCAGAGAAGATGTTTAAAAGTAACACTGTGAACCGGATATTGGAGACTAGTGAGGTTTATAGTTGCCTCCAGAAGAGGGCAGATAGGACAGACAGCTCTTAGATAGCTACGCCTAGCCTGCTCCCTCTCTTGTCTTGTACATTAGCGGGTGGCACCTGCTGAATGCTGACCTGACTGATCAGTGGGCCTTGTGGTGACAGCAAAAGCCCTTTGGCCCCTGGAGAGTCACCTCTCAGCTCCCAGAGTGGGAAGCTTTGCAGGCGGTTGCTTCTGTGTCACGCTCTGAAATGCCAGTCCTGCTTCCTAGGACTTAAATGAATCTTAAAATTCATGCTTTTTCAAGGTCCCCAAAGTTAGAGAACACGGCCTGGCCTCAGTGCCGATGGGTGCTCCTGGTATTTATCTCTGATGGCCCTGAGCTATCCCTTCTTTGGACAACCCAATGCCCATTTGCTCTTGTCTTACAGAGCTTCTGTTTGGTTTTGCTTTTCCAAGAAATTTTATGGGAAGTCTTGAGAAGGGGAAAAAAAAAAAACAACCAAAAAAACATGGTGTCCCTTTTTTCAGATGGGGACACTTCGAGCCCCGTGGGCAATTTGCTTGGTTTCTACTAGCTGAGGAGTAGCCCAACTGGGGACACAGCTGGCCCAGAGAGGCCTGGAAGGTGGAGACTCACACACTCAGAGCACCGGCTGTGCTAGGCGCGGGGAATATAGTAGTGAGTAAAAGCAGAGAGGACCCAAGTTTTCCGCAGGGGTGTTCACTGCTAAGAATGGGGTGCAGGGGCTGTGGGGGTTTTCTGTTGGAAGCAGCTCCACACTGAGACCTGAAGCTTGAGTGTGATTGGTGAACAGCTGAGGCCATGCTGAGGCCAGCCAGCACTGACCAGCAAGGGCCAACCAGGTGTGCATCTGTTCGGGTTCCACTTAGCTAGGAAGGTAGAGGTACGTGTTTGGTAACCTTTGACCTCCAGGTCTCACCTGAGTCTTCCTTTCAGAGCATGTGACAGTGTCCTCAAGGACCCCATCGCAGTCAAGAGCCAGGCGTTGGCAATGGTGCCCGGCACGCCCCCAGCTCCCACCCAAGTGCTGTTCCAACCGCCTGCCTACCCTGCCCTCAGCCAGCCGACGACAACGACGGCACTGGCCCAGTTCCAGGGCCCTGTGCAGGACCTATGCTTGGCCTATCGGGACTCACTGCAGGCCCACCGTCCTGGGAGCCTGCTCCCGGGGGCACGGGCTCGTCCCTGCACACACCGTACCCCACCCTCCAGCCCCTGGATGTGTGTCCCGTGTCTGTCCCCACATCTCTTACCGTGCAGATGGCTCTTGCAGCCGAGCCCAGGCACTGCCTTGCTGCCACCTACGGAAGCAGCTACTTCAGTGGGAGCCACATGTTCCCTGCAGGCGTTTTCGACAGATAGGCCACCTTTGGGCCACTTGAGGAAGCCCTGAAGACCCAGGTAGAGGACGCAAACACTGAAGAGGAGAACCTAGCCAGGTGAGGCAACTGGGCAGCCACCCTCTAGAACCTGGTGCCCTTGGATGTAGAGGGTTCCTGCTCTTTTTAAATAAAACTGGCCCAGAGCAAAACATCCAGTGACACACCTCACCCGAGAGGAGTCCTCTGGAAAACCTCTTCCACGTGTGCCTGGGATACAAAGAGATGGCACAGTGGCTCTTCCCACAAGCAAGGGTCCAGTGAAAAGAAAGACTTGGTAAGAGGCCAGGAGACAGGGAACTGCCTGAAGACCACCAGCCCACTCGCACATCCAGTTTGAGCCTCAAAAGGGTTCTTTACTGATAGAGCTACGCCACTGAAGAAGAAGGTTCATCCTGGCACGTCCTCAGGGTCACGGAAAGAGGCTGTCACAGGTGTTTACTCTCTCTGGCTCCACACAGAGGGGCCGTGTGTGTTTTGACCTGAGTGCCTGCCTGTCGAGGCACGGTGGCAGCTGTCTTGCCTTTACCGTCCAATCTAAAAATCTTTTTTTGGCTTTTTAGATGTGTCACGTGCTGCTGCTTCCTGTATGGATCTAGCTTTGTGTTCTGCAAGATGTCTTGTTTACGTACTGTATCAGGGATTTTGTGATACTTGAAAAATTCTGTAGGAGAAAGAAAACGAAATTGCCACACTGCCTGTCCCACGTGAACCTACCTTAGGACAGGTAACAACAGAGCTCCCTTTTCAGAAGCATAAAGCTGGGGGAAACCACTCCCTAGGCTCTGGGTTCTAGAAGATTCCCTGTCTTGGATGACCACCTAGGGAGGAAAAGGTTGTCGAAAGAAAGATGAAAGGCTTGAAACAAAGCATCCTCATCTCCCTCCACCTGCACGCACAGCGCGTGAGGCTAAGCCATCCTACACTTTGAGTTTGGCCAGTAGCAAGGAATGACACTGTGGAGGACTCGCTTAGGGCCGCCTGGTTCTGAGAGTGGGGAGGTACACGGGTATCTGTCACCAGCATTGATGGCAAGGCTCGGTTGCATGGAAAGCCAGTATTGGGGGATCCGCGGTGAGGGGCTCTCAGGAAGACTGATGCGTGTGCAATATATTTTATTCTGACTCACATCTTACTCTCAGCGTGTTCCTTTGGTTGGTTGGCTTTGGGGGTCGTTCACCCATCAGAACTGGGAGGTGCAAAGGCCACAGAAGCAAATTTGGTTTTTGTTTTTTTAAGAAGAAACCATCTTGGTTTTCTTGGCTCATTTGCTAGTCCAGGAGGCCACGGTGGTGGGGACCGCTGGGGAGTCAGCTGCACGCTGCCCAGTGGGACCTGAAGGTCATAGAGCTTGCAGAGCAGATGGAAGGCTCGGTGTAGAAACACCAAGGAAAGAAAGAAGGCGCTGGCCGTGGACAAGGCATTGCCTCTCTGTCACAGCTGCATACTTGCTCCATGTGTTTCTTTTTCCTTTGCCAACCTCCTTGTATTTATGTGTGACTGTTTGGATTCCAAGTTATTGTATCTGTCTGTTCTGGGACAAGGGTGAAGCTCTCCCCCAGTAGGGTCTCACAAGCCAGCGGGGCTCCCAGAAATAGGATTCTGCAATAAACATGTCACCTGTTCTCAGTCTCAGTTCTCTGTCTGGCCTTCCCCTCAGGCCAGCTCCTCCTCCCCGCTCTCCAGTTAGCCCAATGAGGGTCTTCTGAGGGCAAGAGGTGAAGTGTCAAGGGGTGGGGGGACTGGCAGCAGCAGGAATGGCAGAAGAGTGTGGGAGGTGTGACATCCCAGCTGCACTCCACATCAGCCAGCACTGTCTAGGGACACAGAGTAGTAGGGCATAGAGAGATTTATTTCAAAGAGTGGGCTCACGCCTGTAATCCTAGTTCTTGGGAGGCTGAGATTGGGAGACTCACAGTTCCAGGCCAGCTAGGGCAAATAGTTCTCCAGACCCCATCTCCAAAATAACCAGGGCAAAATGGACTGGAGGTGTGGCTCATGCACTGCAGTGCCTGCTTTGCAAGCGTGAAGTGCTGCGTTCAAACCCCAGTCCTCAAAAAAAAAGTGTAGGGTGGCATGCCAGCAGGCTGAGGATGCAGGGAGGAGTTTTTATTGGTGTTAAGTCTAAAACTTGTAGCACAGGCCAGCAAGCTAGGAACTCAGGTGTGACTTCTGTGTTATAATCTTGAGGCAAAATTCCTTCTCTGGGAAACTTTCGTCTGTGCTCCTAAGGCCTTTCAGTGATTGAATGAGGCCCACCTGTATCATGGAAGGTAACCTCCTTTTCTTAAAGCCATACATCTAAAAGAGTGTCATATCTAAAAAAAAATATTCACAGCAACATCTAGACTAGCCTTTCCTCAAATAACTGGGCACCCTGGGTTCACCAAGTTGACGTAAAATTAGCTAGCACAGCCATTTACTAGCTATTTGGAGGCAGACGACCAAGCCCTCTAAATCTCAATCTTGTCGCCTGCTAAAATGGGGGTGATGACACCACTTGCTTCATAGGGGTCTCAGGATTAAACAGAACAATGCACATCATGGCCAGTACCTCCAAAAAGTAATTATTATAGCTCTTCAAACAGGATTTACTCTAAGATGCGCCATTATTTACCGATGAGTTTCTGGTTCGTTGGTTTGAGACAGTATCTAACAAGGTTGCCCAGGCCAGCGTTGAATACCTAGGCTCCAGTGACCTCCTGTCTCAGCCTAACACGTCAGATGTCACAGGTGCTCATCAGTGGGGGTGAGGCTCGAACACGTGCCAAAGATGCATGAGAACCTGGGTTCCATCCCTCACAGCAGGAAAAAAAAACAAGCAAAACAAAACACCTGATGAGCTAGGCGTCAGTGCTTCACACCTGTACTCCTAGCTACTCAGGAAGCAGAGATCAGGAGCATCGAGGTTCAAAGCCAGTCTAGGCAAATAGTTTGGAAGATCCTATCTCGAAAAAATCCTTCACAAAAAATGGGCTGGTGGAGTGGCTCAAGGTGTAGACCCTGAGTTCAAACCCCAAACCCCAGCACCACAAAAAAAAAAAAAAGCCCTGACTAAGGATTAAAAACAAAGATCTTGCCAACTTAATAAATGCTTATGATATCATTGACTCGATTCAGGAATGTTTAAAAATGTCAAAATACGTGAGGATGTAGCTCAGTGGTAGATCACTTAGCATGTGCAACTCCCAGAACTACAGAAAAACTCTTAGAAAATGTTGGCTGGATCTGGGTGTCTGGGTATGATGGTGCGTGTCTATAATCCCAGCTACTTGGGAGGCTGAGATCAGGAGGATACTGGCTTGAGGCCAGCCCAGGCAAATAGTTTTTGAGACTCCATCTTCAAAATAACCAGAGCAAAATGGACTAGAGGTGTGGCCCAAGTGGTAGAGCGCCTACTTTGTAAGTGAAAAACCCTGAGTTCAAACTGCAGTCCCACCAAAAAATTGGTGTGTGTGTATGGTGTGTGTGGTGGGGGGGTGATGTAGTATGGGTGTGTGTGTGTGTGTGTGTGTGTGTGTTAGAACTGATGGGATGCAGCCTTGCTGTTAGGGAGAGTGTCAGATTCTGTTCTTCTCTGAAAGGCCCTCTGTCCTGCCCTGTGCCCACCCAGTTTCCAGCAGGAAAAGGGTCCCTCAGAGTTGGTGTCATGCTGGGTTGAAAGGTATGAACTCAGCACAAGTTTCCCTGGTGGAGAGGAATAGGGAGCCGTGCTGGGGACACAACTCTGAAGGCCAGAACCAGGTTTGGGGACCATGTGTGTTGGTAGGCAGGGACTGGGACAGAACCCCTCTGCTGTGCACAAGGCCCAGTGGGGCAGAAGGCTCTAGGTTTGGAGGGTTCAGAGACAAGGCAAGTGCAGTTTACCGAGAGAGCACAGGCTGCACTTTGGGCAGATCCCTCCCTCTGGGCTTCACTTCCAGGCTGTTACCATGGAGACGGTTGAGTTGAAGGCCTGGTGTGAGCTCTAGGGGAAGCTGAGCCACAGAGCCTTCATCTTGGCCTTCCACCAGAGAGAACCATGTAGTTCTTCCCTGCATGCTTGCTCTGTGTAAGATGTCAGCTGCCATGCTGGGTCACGGCTAGGAAAGTTTTAAAAAACAAGATGGCTTTAAAGGCCCTCCCTGGGCTGACATCTGGTTGAATCCAAAGGGTTTTAAGCTCGAGCAAGCTGCAGAACGACCTGGAGCCATCTCCAAGAAGGGAAGGGCCCCAGGACCTGCATGTTTAGCCAGCTTCCTGGTGACTCCGTGCAGGATTTCTTTGAGGATTCAAGAGTTCAAGGAACAGGACCTGGTTTCCATGCTTCAAAGGTTACGTAAGGAAACAGAATCCCAACCCAAAAGTGAACCTCTGACTCAGCCTCGGCTCTGTTCTGCTGTTCCGCGTGCAATACTGCTTTGTTCTATGTGGTATTTCTTTCTTTTTTTGGTCATACCGGGGTTTGAACTCAGGGCCTCACACTTGCTAGGCAGGTGTTCTACCCCGAGAACCACTCTCCCAGCCATTTTTTTGTGATGGGTATTTTTGAGATAGGGTCTCATGAACTATTTGCCTGGCTGGCTTCGAACCTCAGTCCTCCTGATCTTTCCTCCCGAGTAGCTAGGACTGCAGTTGTACTGGTGCCCGGCTCTATGTGGTATTTCTTTCACTGAGCAGTGTGAAGGGTTAGGACACCCAGACTCCTTTTCCCAGGAGATCCTGCTTCCTTCCACATTAACTCCAAATGCCTGAATTGGGGTCAGGGTCAGGGTCCCAGTTCCTCATGCCCTGTGGGTTCAGACTCCATCGCTCCAGAGCTCTTTGCTCTCACGTGGACTGCTCTTCTCCCTTAATCCTTGGGAGCCTCTCACTGTTCGTGTCAGTGATTTGAAACCAGGGTCAGTCACTCCCCCCTCCTGGGGTGGGGGGACATTTGGCAGTACTGACAGATATATTTGGTGGTCTTATCAGGGGACGTGCTACTGGTTTCTGGGGGTAGAGACGGATGCTGCTAAGTGTAGGAAAATACCCAGAATAGACAGAATCATCCAGATGCAAATGCAGGCGTACTGGGTGAGAAGCCCTGCCTTAGGTCTGGGCTTCCACTGCAAAGAGGCCTCTGCAGTACCCTGAGTCCCACTCATCACCCCCTTTATTCTCTTCCTACTATTAAAACCATCTGAAATGATCTTGTTAATTTGTTGACTTTATTTAGTGGCTGTACCCTAAACTGCCTCCTCCCAATAGGACGCGGCTCCTGGTGACAGTGGCGGTAGATCACAGCGGCAGGCGCTCAGTGAGTGTTTTCTGTGTTCCAGGCACTTGTTCATATTATCTCTTAATCGTCCTAGGAACCCTACAAGGTAGGGACTGTCATTAGCTGCATTTTACCCATCAGGAAATGAGGGCACAACAGATCATTTGCTGGAGGGTAGAGGAAGGAGCCACAGCAGCTTAAACTGGCCCTGGTGCCCTGTTCTGCCCAACTCAAGGCTTTGGAATGAAGGAGTGAAGGGATCTGAGCTGCTCCAGGTGGCTGTCCCACTTCCGGCAGCTCCCACTGCACTGACAGGCTTAGCGGGGAGCCGGTGACTCCCAAGGTCAGGGTGAAGAGCCTGGGTCTAGGACACAGGACTAGGGTCTGTGGGATGCAGCCTCACGATAGCATCTTCAACTCAGTGGTGCACCAAAATGCATCTCTGACTTTCTGGAAGCCATTAGTGTGATTTTTCTTGGCAGAACTGGGTTTTTAACTCAGAGACTTATGCTTCCTAGGCAGGCTCTCTAGCACTTGAGCCATTCCACCAGCCCTTATGTTGGGTTTTTTTTTTTTAACTGTTTATTCATTTATTCATATGTTCACACCTTGTTTGGGCCATCTCTCCCCCCTGCCCCCCACCCCCTTCATCTCCCACTCACCCACCTCGTTTTCAGGCAGATCCTGTTCTGTCCTCTTCTCCAGTTTTGTTGAAGAGAAGACATAAGCAATAATAAGAAAGACAAAGCGTTCTTGCTAGTTTGAGATAAGGATAGCTATACAGAGAGAGTCCTAGCATTGCTTCCATGCACAAGTGTATTACAACCCGAATTGATTCATTTCTACCAGGCCTCTTACTACTTCCTGGTCACCTTTCCATAGCGACCTCTGTCATTTTAAGGTTACTATAT